GTTGCCTTAAAAAAAACCTAACAAAATTTATCTTTCTAAAAAGAAGCTAAAAGCCTCACGCTGCCGTCATCCTGTTTTGCCTTTCACTCCCCTCACCCACTTTCACCGGACCGGGCTATTCCATTGACGACCCCTCTGGTAGGGGGGGGAGAAAAGAAAAGAAAACGGATTAACTTCACCTGCACATTGTTGACTGTTAGTAAGATTATTAACCCCGCCTTAAAAAAACCATTCCATACTCCATTTGCTCCGCGGCTCTCCAACTTCCTCCTTTTCATTTCCTTGCACCCATTCCCTCCCCCCCCCATTTCCAAGCGGGGATGGCGCGCCCCGAGCAGCCGCGTTCCCAGAACCCCCCGCGCGGCGCGTGCCTTCTCTCTTTCCTCAGGCGGAGACCGAGCGGAGCGGAGCAGCTGCTGGTTCTTCCTCTCGGGTTCCCCCCCCCCCCAAAAAAAGTACCGTTTCCCTCCTCTCACCTAACGGTTATTACGTGAGTAGAGACCATTTCTTCTCACGGGGGGGGGGGAGTTGAGAAGCGGTTGCTAGGCGACGCTTTACCGGCAAAAAAGCGGGGGGGGGCCCCTGATATTTCAAAATTGGGCTTGACCTGAAACCGTCCCCCCTCCCACGTCCCATCATGCACTGCGGGGGCCTAACTTTGGACCGCCAGTTGCAGCCTCTGCTCTATTTCTCTTCTCTCCCCCCCTCCCAATATGGAAGCAGGAGGGAGGGGGGAAGAAGCGCGCCCCTTACAGGTGGAATGGGAACCCAGGGGGCCATCTAGTCTGACCCCCTTTGATTCAGGGTTTTTATGTTATTTTCCTGGTTTTATTGTGATTTTTTTCCCTTACTCCCTCCCCAATGTATGGAAGCAGGAGGCGGGTTAGGAAAGAGGCCCTTTTATAGGTAGAATTGCAGAATCGGGAGGAGATCCCTAGGGATCATCTGGTCCACCTCCCTTGCACTTCCTCTTCCTTTCTTTCCTGGCTAGAAAATTATTGTTGTTATTTCTTTGTTTATATACCACCCTTTCTCTCCCCCCCCAAGAACCAGGTATCAAGGCAGCTTATACAAATCAAGACAGTATGGATAGCATTCAAAAAGCTAAAGTAAAAAAACACGTGAAAGGTGGTTGCTTAAAAGTCATTGAACTCAAATGCAATTGAAATAGTTCTGTATTTATTAATCTAACTGTATTTGTAAGTGGGGTACACAAAAATGCTGCTATTTGCGCTCCACCCCCCCTTTCCTATGTTATTTCCCTCTATCTGTTTTAGATTGTAAGCCCTTTTAGGGCAGGGACCTGTCTAACTTGTTTGTAAAGCACCATGCGCATAGATGTTGCTATAAAAAAACAATAGTAATATGTAGCAAGGTGAAAAATGCAATTTCAAGAAGAGGGGTGCTGCTCTAGCTCTGGGTTATTTATTTATGCTTTTTTTTACTCCCCTTTTTCTCTCTGAGGAACTTGGGGTGCTCTTTCACTCACCCCAGTCTTACCTTTCCCATTTATGTGGTTGTGAGTTGGGCTGTAATTAGCCCAGAGAATAAATCTGAGAGGTTGCTGATCCAAATCTTGACTATGATTCAACATTGTAGGCTGCCTTAGGCAAGTGATTGTCTCTTGGTCTTAAGTTGGGGTGATAACTGGTCTCTTCTATAGCACTGCTGTAGCACATTGGTTATAGTGTCTAGGGAGACTTGGGTTCAAATTCTCACACAGCTGTGGATCTCATTGGCCGATCTTGTTGCGTGAGTCACCATCTCTCATCCTTGCCTACCTCATGGGACTGCTGTCTGGATGAAATGAGAGGAAGGAGAGCCATGAACGCTGCTTTGAGCTTCTTGGAGGAAGGGTAGGATATTAATGTAATGTTTGTGAAGCCCTTTCAGTTCTTCAAAGTGCTAGGTAAACACCAAGTTGCAGGGGTGTGCAATTGGCCATTTTGGCTGCTAGCATTTAAAGCTCGTTTTCGCCATTCTTAATCAGGCTGCTATGCCATGCTGACTGACCACCTGACTGCCTCTCTTATGCTGACCTATCTTAGGGGTTCAGAAGAACTGCTTTGTTGAATCATACCCAAAGGCTGCTTATTCTGGCATTTTTGCCTCAGACAGTGGCCTTATGCATGCTTTTGAAATGCTTCCAAGCGAGGCATGCAGGTGATCACTTCCTTTTGTGTCATCATTTGGTAGTTGGAGGTGAAATGCTTTCAGGCATAGTCTTCTGTTTTTGCCATTCCTTCTGTTAGCCCATGGCAGTCCTGTCTTCCATGAACTTGAATAATTCCTGAGGTTGTTTCCAAGCAGCTGTGAGCCAATGCAACCTTCCTCCAGGAAATATGTAAGGCTGTACTTCAAGAAGCTTGTTGATGCATATACAAAAAACTGCATTTTCTTACTAGGTGGTCTCTTTCCACATATGTGATCCTTTCTACTCGCAAGTGAACTGTTTGTGATGGAGTCCGAGGCGTTCTCAAGAAGAAACTTTATTTCACACAGTGCTCTCTGCATATCTCTGCCACCCAAGGATTGAATTATTTCACCAACCTTCTCTAGCCCAGCTGCTTCAATACAGCTAAAGAAATGTGTCTGCATTTACTTCTTAATAATAAATGTGAGGGATTGTTTCTGGTTTTTGGTTTGTTACTGCCCCGTCTTTGAAACATGACTGGCTACAACATCTGCTGTAGCTATAAAGCACGGCAGCATTCCTGAGTATCTCTGTCTGTGACAGTTCTGTCTTTGCATTTCCTGCATTCTAACCACTGTTCCATTTTTAATTCAATGTTGTTAACTACTGTATGCTATCTTAACTGCTTGTGGATCATACATATTTTTTCTGCACTGCATTAAATGTTTGCTGTTGGATTTTCCTTTTCTTTTTATAGTAGTATTTCCTCTGTCCTCCTTGTTCTTCTCTCTCCTCCCCTCCCCTCTCACTTTTGAGTTTTTATTTTAAGTGACCCTTAAAATAGAATGCTGGACTAGATGGGCCTTTGGCCTAATCCAGCAGGGCTTTTTTTAAAGGTTCCTACCCTTACTGTTGTGTTGAGGGTTCTGGTTAATAAAAAGGACAGGCATCTCTAACCTGACACTGTGACAGAATACCTTTAACTAGGATTGGGAAAAACCCAAGTGCCTTAAGACCTGGTTACATATTTTCTCAAATGTCCCCCCCCCATCAAAACTAAGGTAGTCATTATTTTTTAAGCTAATGTGCAAATCTTTACTTGAGGATTTCGTAGTTCCACCACCCTCGGAAGATCGGAGCAGGGAGGTTGGTCCGGACCAGGGCATTCTCTGCAGTAGCCCCTAAGTTGTGGAAATCCTTCCCTACAAATATGTGTGTGTGTAGCACCTTCATTATACATCTAACAGTCTTTGACACCTGAGAAGTGTGCTTTCAGGATCCACACTATTCCTGCAATAGTAATTAGTTTTAACCGTTTTAATACTGATTTTTCAGCATCTTTAACTTCCTCTGGGACCTGCTGGTGAAGGGCAGGTAATAGATTTAAATAATAATAGCTGATCGCCAAAGAATGGATGCTTTTGAATTATGGTGCTGGAGAAGACTCTTGAGAGTCCCATGGACTGCAAGAAGATCAAACGCATCCATTCTTAAGGAACATTACCTCTGAGTTCTCACTGGAAGGACAGATCCTGAAGCTGAGGCTCCAGTACTTTGGCCACCTCATGAGAAGAGAAGACTCCCTGGAGAAGACCCTGATGTTGGGAAAGATGGAGGGCACAAGGAGAAGGGGACGACAGAGGACAAGATGGTTGGACAGTGTTCTCGAAGCTACAAACAGGAATCTGACCAAACTGCGGGAGGCAGTGGAAGACAGAAGTGCCTGGCGTGCTCTGGTCCAGGGGGTCACGAAGAGTCGGACACGACTAAACGACTAAACAACAACAGTCATAATACATTTTCCTTTTCATTATGTGGGGTTCTGAGGGATTCTCTATTATGGAGCCTCCTGCCATAGAGGGTGGAACTTTTGTGTTACATACAGGGGAGAGAGCTACCCTTTGGGAGTGGAGCAGGTTTTTCAAGAGTCAAACCCTTTTTTGTTGCGCTGTGTTTCAGATGTTTCCACTTCTGCACAATGCCATAAACCGCTTCTACTTGTCTTGTAGGATTGTGCTGTGATGGTGGGTTTGAATCTCTTGGTGGCTTTACTCTTTGGCTAGTACGATTCTGGAAACAAAACCATCTTAACCTTCTTGTTTTCTGTCCGTCTTTCTTAATGCTATCCTAGGAACTAAAAAAGTAAGTACTTGCTCACAATATTCTTGCTCCTTTGTTTGCTTGACTTACTCGAATGAAAAGTGATGCCCAGTAAGGTAGATCTACTAGGCTTGGCTTTTAAAGTATTTAATAGCAATTGTGGCATTAAGTATTTATATTGTACTTGTGTCTTTCATTTTGATGCTGAGGCTTTTGTGGAGGAATACATAGCATCTTATTTCAACAAAAACAGCAGGAATGCAAAATTACTACTGTCTTCCATCATCTATAGCCTCCTAAACGAAAATACGTCCTCTGCTGCTGATAATCTGAGGTGTATTGCCTTTTAGACAATTGTATATTGCTTTTAGATTCTACCCAGCTCTTTTACAAAAGCTTGGTAGCAACTCCTGAAAAAATAAGTGATTAACAGAATACCACATTAAAACCTATTTAAAATAAATCTACATTAGCTTTACTATGGCTGTTGAAAGCCAGCCCAACCAAGAAAGCTTTTTCAGGCTGCCAGAAGGTATTCATGCTTGACATATCTCTATTGTGATTTCCACAACTGTGTAGTGACTGCTGATTAACCTCGCAATATATATTGCGCTGTGGGTAAAAGCCCCGGAAGTGTCTGCGGACAGCGCTGGCTCCCGGCTTATAGAGTGAGATGAGCGCACAACCCTAGAGTCTGGCAAGACTGGCCCGTACGGGCAGGGGTACCTTTACCTTTACCTTTATATATAATTACCGCTCATTCTAGGTGTCATGTACAGTACAGTTCTGGAGACATTCCTATCACAACCGGTAGGATCAGAGGAGAGGGTAAGGCCCACGCTATTAAACTTTTATAACCATAATCTTAGCATGTCTCAAACAAAAAAATAAATAGTAATTAATTATATTAAACTTAAAATATGCATTTAAATAACCCCACCTACTGTAAAATACTGCCTCCTTTTTGAAACAGCAGTTTCGCTCACTGGCTTAAAGCAATTGGCTCTAATTCTGCTAATCCCAGAATAAGATGGAACATTAGGGGGAACACCATGTAAGCACCCTTTCTTTTTAAGGATTTGGGTTTTCAAACAAATTGTCTATGCAGTTCATGTAGAAAAATCACGCCCATGTCTCAAAAGTGTGTATCCCTTTTGAGATAATCCAAGTCATAACTGAAATAATTTCACAAATATATTTACTGCTGCTGAATCCTTTTAGCTAACAGCTCCTCTCATAAAAATTTCCAAAGTGATAGCCCCAATATTTAGCATTTTGTAAGTCACCTGATTTTGACCTTAGGATGGAAGGTTCACTGCTTCTGTTATGTGCTCTTTGACACTTCAAGCAACTGGAGAATAAAAAAATTAAACTCCTCTTCCCGCCCGCCCCCCACTCACTGTTCCTTCTCAAAATATGGCTCTTTTCTCCAAATTTCATTCAAGTAATTTGTGGCTGTGGAAGAATCCTATCTATCCCTTGTGTCTTTTGTCAGCCTTTTGTTAAAATCCTTGTTTTTCCCCTTCTCCAGCTCTTTCCCCTGACCCAAAACTGTAGCTTACTCTTTTACGCTGTTGGATGCTGCTTCTATTTCTAGGGGAAGCTTTAATATTCCAAATTCTCCCCAAATCCCTTATCCCTTGCACTTAGTTAATGGCTATATCAAAAGGTCGTGGAAGAGTTACCATGAGTGCAAGCACTCTTCCCACTTTGCTCCTCCCGTAATACAAACAGGAACAGCAAACCACAATTTCTGGCTTAGCACGGTGTCCGGATCAGGGATCATGGTTTATTTCACTCCCTGCCCCAAAATAATAATAATAAAAAACCTGCTATGTGAATCCTAAGATGTGCACTTTGTTTCTTGGCCATGGCTTGTTTGAGCGACGCAAACCACAATCCCTGGTTTGGACATAATGCTAAGCAAGGGGTCGTGGTCTCTCCTGATTGCACTAACGGAGCAACAAAATGGAAACTATCTCCACCTTGACAATAAACCATTAACTATGGTTTACGCTGATGTCCGAATGCAGCCAGGGTTTCATGCAGTTTATGCCATGTATGGGACAACTGGCTAATTCCCTTTTTATGCAACGTTAAAAATACGTTGAAACTAGGATTCTGAGGTTACTGTAAATATGGGACCTACTTTGTACGTGGGTGGTGCTGTGGGTTAAACCACAGAGCCTAGGACTTGCTGATCAGAAGGTTGGCGGTTCGAATCCCTGCGACGGGGTGAGCTCCCGTTGCTCGGTCCCTGCTCCTGCCAACCTAGCAGTTCGAAAGCACATCAAAGTGCAAGTAGATAAATAGGTACCGCTCTGGCGGGAAGGTAAACGGTGTTTCCGTGCGCTGCTCTGGTTCGCCAGAAGCGGCTTAGTCATGCTGGCCACATGACCCGGAAGCTGTATGCCGGCTCCCTCGGCCAATAAAGCAAGATGAGTGCCACAACCCCAGAGTCGGTCACGACTGGACCTAATGGTCAGGGGTCCCTTTACCTTTACTTTGTGCAATGTGCTGGAAATGTGCAGTGTACCTGTTTCGACATTCATTATATGCACTGAGAGGCCATGTGCAAGGAGAGGCAAGAGGTTTACTCTCATCAGTCACTACTTTTCATCCCCTGAGATGGCATTGTGATGTCATTGCCGTTCACTAGTCACAATGCCCTAGAGATTTTACACAAAGGAGACTCCCTTGACCAAGTCCATACAGCTCCCAGCTTTTCAACATCTTGATATGAACTTGTTTTCAATGGGGTCAGGGCTGGACTTTTAAGAAGTAAAATTTTCCATTTTTTTTAGAACGAGCATTCCATTTCAAGTCACCAATAGTAAGTAGGGAAATTTTAAAAATGCCTTTTCAAGAAATAGAAAGCTCATTTTAAGAACGATCCTAGTTTTGGGGGTGTCCAGTTCTGATGCGTCTTTCAAGTTATTTCACTTACACAAGAATTGCACATTCACAAAATTGTCCACAGTGATAGACCCAATATTTAATACTGTACCAAGAGCACAGATTTTAAACCACATGGTAAATTTCAAAAAGTTTGGATTTCATTAATAGCATAAATATGGGCACAAATCACACCAATCACTGCTTTGAACCAAACTTTAACCTCAGTAGGGCTTTCATGAGATGTAGATTGGATTATGATCATCAGCTGCACACTATGATATTCGAAATCTGAGGTCAGTTATTCCCTTTGGAGTTGTTGGACAGTTGCTACTGATTCATTTGTTCATATTCTGACATCCTCTTGCAAAAGGAGTATGAAGTCCTAAACAGTGCTCATTTACATTTTAATAACTGATGCTACTTGGATATATAGCAATGTGACTGATAACTTTGGTTTAGATAATAAGTTTTATCATTTGAGCCTCATGAATAAAAGATCATCCACGATGCGTATGTTGTTCCCAGCCTACAAATGAACAGTGAAATAGATTTGCTAATTTTGAGAGACTTGGCCAACATCTGCTAGACAGTCTGTGAACTTTGAAAAGCCATTTGTTGGCTCTGGGAGGGCTAATATTGCCTAACCCACAAATTCCAATCCAAAATACGTCAATTACTTGATCTACTTTGCCTCTGCCATTGTGTGTGATGATGTCCTATGTGGTGGTACCTCGGTTTTTGAACGTAATCCATTCTGGAAGACTGTTCAACTTCCGAAACATTCAAAAGCCGAAGCATGCATTTCCAGAAGCATTTACGTCCAGAAAACTCAATACGGAAGCCGCGTGGCATATTCGGCTTCTGAAAAGCGTTCGAAAACCGAAGCAGTTACTTCCGGGTTTTTGGCGTTCGAAAGCTGAAACGTTCGACTTCCAAGACGTTAAAAAACTGAGGTACCACTGTATATTCCAGTGAACATGATGTGCACTGGAAGACAGAGGGTGCAAACCAGATCATTTCGTTGCTCTTACTGGTTCTGGTCTGCATCCCAAGATACGGAACTAAATTTATGCTGCATCGAATAAATCTACTCCCCCCCCCAATTGTGTAACAACAAAACAATTTTGGCATATGAAATGCAGTTTGGGGAGGCAGAGCCTTCTAGAGCAGCTTATTTTGAGCAGCTTTGAAAATTGATCAACTCTTGAGTATGACTAGCATTGGATTTTAACTAGGGCTCTGCATATATGTAGGTAGTAGAACCTGAGGTCTTGAAATGAATAGAACCTAACTGCATGCCATTAGTATGTCTTAGGTTTTTCCCCCCTGCAACTATATTGCTGTGCTTGTTTCTTAATGCTGCCTCCCCGTTTGGAAGATGAGGACAAGGAAGCTGCTTTATCCAGCGGAAAAAGTCTGGGTGGACAAGCACAAGTATGACGAGGCAGAGAGGCTCCACTATGAGAGGGAAGCAACCTTAGCAGCTTCTGCTGCCGGGGCCTGTCAAGAGGTGGTGGCGGTGAACGGCTTCTGCCATGAGGAGGACCCTGTGGAGAAGAGGTGAAGGGAAACCTGTGGAGGTCAGGAAGCAGGAAGAAGCAAAAGAAAAGGAAGTGCTCCCCCAAACGCAAGCCTTTAGACCCCAAAGTGGACTTTGTCCTGGCCGGGTTACTGGCTGACCGTGTCTGGTTTGACAAACCTCTCTTTGACCGGGCGGAAACAGCTTACAGGAAGAAGCTTGCCGAAATGTTGTTGCAGGAGGCTTCTGAGGGCCTCCCGGCCGCTGAGCAGTCTGCGCTGGTGCCCTGGTCAGAGGCAGAGGTCTTCCAAGGTGATCCAAGGCCACAGAGAAACCTGGCTGCCTTGCACTGTGCCCATGGCAGCCTGATGGCCTGCCACCACATCATCCAGGATGTTTGGGTCAACAAGTTCAACTTTGACGACGCTGAGAAGCTGTTTGTCGAAAAATCCCAGTTCGTGGCTCTACCACAGACCCTGGACCTCTCATCCACGCCATTGCACAGCAGTAGTGGACTAACACCAGATGAAGGCTATGTGACTGCACTGCCTACTCCTTCAACACCAGCCCAGCCTGCGGATATCATCGTGGATACCGGTGCGCCCCCAAATCTGCCTGACACTTTGATCCAGCCGGTGAACGGCAAGCCTCAGGTGTCGAGTTTGCAGGCGCTGATCTCGGAGGTGTGGCTGGAAAAGCCTATCTACGATGACGCAGAGAGATGCTTTTACACAAACATGTTTGACGGGCACCCTCCGGGAAAGGTGAGGTTGCAGGAGTGTGGGCGCCCAGAATCTTCCAAGAGGAGCCGGAAGGACAAAAAGGGCCGTAGCGCAGGGAAGCAGGCAGCAGCAGGCAAGAGGGGCAACAACAACATCTCTGCAACGGCACCTCCAGATTCTGCACTCTCACCAGCCACCTGGTATTTCATTCACAAGGACAGCGAGTCTGCGTGGCTCAGCAAACCCACCTACGACAGTGCTGAGGCGCAGTACTACATCTCCAAAGCCTCAAAGCTGGCAAGCAAGCAGGAGAGCGCCGGAATGCCCGAAACGATGTTAGCAAAGCCATCGCAGCCAGCTGCTCTCGCTTCAAGCGCACCAGAGTCTCATGCTAAGTAGGAAACGCTTGTTCTGGGGTAACATTCCCAAACCTAATGGGCCAGGATAGTGTGGAAGAGCTTCTGTATGTAAAACATTGCAATGTGTTGTGTCCCACTGTAGAAAGATGTAAGCAGGCCATAATAGACATCCATGTTAATTGGGCCAGTCCAGGTTAGAAGGAAGAAGGGAATGGTTTTATGATTTGTCCTCCTCAGTTGCTGGTAGTGCTGCTCTGTACAATTTAAGCTTATAAATTACTCCCATTACTTTTGCAGAGCCTGTTAACTTGTTCAGGGGAGGCATCTGAAACAGGATTTACTATCTCTGTATTATTATTACTTTTAGGGAATTAGTACCCTGCTCCTCATGCAAAAACCTCCCAACTAACATGCATCAGAAGAGCAATTTGTTTGATTTTATATACGGTATATATGTAGGGCATTAAGAAGTTCTACATAATTTTATATACGCAGGTCACATCCATTTCTCATGTGCCTAATTTGTGGGAGCTTTTGTTTTTGTCAGATGTGGAAAAGCTTTTTAAAAAATAGGACCTCCACAGATACTGTATCTGACCCTTTTTGGCTGTCTCAAACCCTGGCCGTATTAAGCTGGAACTATACCCTAAAGTGCTTCTTAGCAAAGGATTGTTGTCACTTGAAGGTGTGCTGAGTGGTGACTATGGCTTTGGTGGTTTTGGACTGATCTGGACGTTTATGTGAATGGAATGAACCAAACAGATACCTCTGAAAGGTTCTTTTTGTTGGCTCTGCTTTTTCCTGCAGTTTCTCAATAGCATATAGCATATTGCAAAATCTGATGTTTCTTGTCAGGTTCTCCCCTTTCCCTCTTCACTTAAAATCTTCTATCCTGTGATCCTTTTCTGTGTCACCCTGCCCAATAGTAACCATGTAGTCTCTCCTGCCATGCAGTGAACCTCCCTTAGTTTTGAATTCCACTGCCACATGCAAAATTCTCACCTCTGTTTATGAATGTCTATTTCCCATTTAGACACAAATTTAATGTGCTTCTCTTTTGGCCAGTTTACCAAACCACTGTGTACTAGAAGGAAGGCCTCCACAAAAGGGATGGGATGTTTTGCTCTTTAGTAAACTTTGCCCTGGTGCTTGGCTTTGCATTATTTTAAGCAGGTCTATGCTGTGTCCATTGGTGGACATTGGTTAATGTGGCTCCACAACACTCCATATATATTTTTTGCCCATAAGAGTTGAAGTGCTACTTAAAATCATTTACCTAGAATCATTTTGGTGGCTTATTCAGGTGTCCATAGAGCTGGTGTCATAGCTACCCTCCTGTCTGGGCAAAGGAACTCTGCCTAGCCCTCCTAGAAAGGCAATGTCAGGAAAGGGTTGTGTGAACATGAGCATATTGAGAAAAAATATTCTTAACTGTTGGTTGGACTGTGGATTTTCACTTGTCTTGTCTCAGGGTAGTTGAACTGGTTTTTTAAAGAACGCTTGCTTATCAATGTCAAAAGGACTGAACAGGCAAGCAAGTGACTGAGCAGTAGGTTCCTAATTGGTCCCATTTACACAAGCCTTCCCATCTCAGGTAGGGAGGCAGTGGGGATGTGGCCCAGTGGGATGGAAGAGGGAGATGATGTTTGACTAAGCTGGCCCTAACCGTTGACCTAGAAATCAGATTTCTAGCTATTTATTTAGTCTCCCCCTCTTTTCAGAAACATGGCCACCAGCTTCCTCATGCATGAAAAGATCTGGTTTGACAAGTTCAAATATGATGATGCTGAGAAGAGATACTATGAACAGAAGAACGGTCCAGCTGCTAGCCCCTCCTGCCAGCAGGTAAGATGCAAATACTGTCCAGGGGAAACAGGCAGCTTGCATGGCACAATCCTTCTGGAGCAGGTAGCAATATGGTGGGGGCTTTCTTCATACCTGTATGAAGTCATTTCCATTAACAATCTCACCACCTTCTGAACACCAGATGAGCTTTGCTAGCCTTTGCCTAGCCTCCTGCTAATCAGATGTCTGTGGGAAGCCTATAAACGGGACTTGAAGGCAACAGCCACCTCCTGCTAGTTCCTGACCACCACCTAGTAACTGATACATTGCTTGGTACCTGTAGGATCTACGAAACAATACCCTACGTAGAGTATCTCTCACATTATTCTTGGAGCACCAGACGTCTTAAAATTCTCTTCCCGCCTATCATCTCCTTGTCAAGTACTGGGCTTTTGCCTTTGGTAGCAGAACAATCACCCTGCTCCCCACCCCACCCTACTCTATGGTACAAGTGAATCCAAAACATGTTATTTCCCAGTGGGATGCACTGCCTTGAGGGGGCAAGATCTCCTTTCCCTGGTTCATTTCCAGGGAAGAAGAGCTCCTCAGCTACTGTACAGGTGTTGTAGTTTGAGTACTACAAGAGGTAGTGATTGCCAAGCAGGTAATTTCCAGCTTAGCTCCATTCCACATTCATTACCCCTTGCCCCTTGAACCTTGCATTCTTTGCACTTCTAAATGTTTGTCCTTGAGAGTGCTGGCTAGGGTAGAACAGTGTGTATTAAAATAAAATTTTGAGCTATTTGAAAAGGAAAAGGAAGCCATAATTGCTGCATTCGGGTGCAGTGCTAATGTATGACTTAACGATATGAGGCCGCACCATGGTGAGGTTTGGTCTCTCATGTTCTCCTTCTCTCCCCACTTCCTTTGTGTGCTAGGAGAGAAAACTTTACTCTTCCAGTTGTGCTTTGTGACAAAGCACAATTCACTCCTCCCCCCCCCGCCCCCAAATATATGCAACTGGCTTGTCCAAATAGTGGCAAACCAGGATCTGATCGTGGTTTGATAATCCCAGTTTAACCATCTGTAGTTTGTTACAAAGAGAAAACAAATGCTTCAGATTTTCTCCTTTGTAGGTGAAGGGCTGGGAAGGCCTGTTATGACACATTCCCATATTGCTAAGCCAGGGATGAGGGACATTTTTGGCCTGGTGGCCCAGATCTACAATTCTCTTTTGTGCACCCAGACTAAACAAGACTGAACACTCAGCACATCAGCTGGTGAGAGGGGAATGGAATCCGGCTGTGCCTGTCTGCCCCATACCTGATGTCACATAGGATGTTTGGTGTGGGGCAGGTGAGTGTGATTTCAGGGAAATGATCTTGCAGGCCAGATGGTGGCCTAGATTTGGCCTATGGACCAGAGGTTTCCCACTCCCGTGCTAAACCATGCTTTAGTGTTCCATCTGAATGCAGCCACTGACTGATTTAAGCTGTTTCCCAATAATCCAGGTTACTCTGAAAGGACAGAGTAGGAACAGCATTGCCTCCTTGGCATTGAATAATGGAGATGAGAGGCAGGATTCAGTAGTGTTGATAAGGCTTTCTAGGCTGCAAGAAAACAGCTGTATAGCAGGGAGCAAAGTTTTGTGACTATGAACAGGTTCCATAGAGGTTGCTGTTGACTCTGTTATAGAAGAAGGCTTGTAAGGAAGGGAGAAGGTGCAGGAAATTCTTGCACGTTCTTTCTTACGAATAAAAAAAATTCCTTCCAGTAGCACCTTAAAGACCAACTAAGTTAGTTCTTGGTATGAGCTTTCGTGTGCATGCACACTTCTTCAGATACACGCATGCACACAAAAAGTGTGCATGCACACGAAAGCTCATACCAAGAACTAACTTAGTTGGTCTTTAAGGTGCTACTGGAAGGAATTTTTTTTGTTTTGACTATGGCAGACCAACACGGCTACCTATCTGTAACTTTCTTACGAATGTTATGAACAGCATTTGTTGGACACCGGCATACTCCCCTCTTCCTCACAACCTACAGCACTGCTTTTATCTGGAAGCTCATCTAAAACCCTCTGTGTCTGCACATGCAAGACATTTCCCCTCTCTTTTCTTGCAATCTTAGAAAAGTTTATATAGGCCCCTCCCTAAGGGTAATAGTCTCCAGATTAGACCAAACCGAAATTAAAGTTCTGGCTCAGCAGCAGCACAAAGACTTGCCGCGGTATCAACTGAATTTCTGCAAATTCTTCCAGGTTAGGGTGGAAACACTTAATGTAGTGACTGGGCCCCCACAAATATGTAAAAATGCAAAACTGAAAGATGGTTGAAATTTGCAGGGCTTTTTAAAAATAATTCCCTGGATGGTAGATGCTGCATCTGTTCAGCTACATTTGTGCTGCCTTCAGTAGTTACATTATTGTAGGAACTAGAAATGCTCACCTGTGAGCAATTGTGTACATGGTACAGGCTCTCATAGGGGCAGGCTGTGAGTGAAGCAGAGGGCTCTCTTTTCTCTGGTAAGCAGGCGATCAAGTGAAGTTTGCCCCATATCCAGAAGCAGCAGCTTCTAAGTATTCAGTCTCCCAGGGCTTATTCTCCAAGCTGCTTTGTTAGTTAGTAAGGAACTTGAAGCAAATGAGACCGACATTCATTAGGGCAATGAAATTGATAAGCGTCTTCTTTAAATAGGCTGACTTTCCTACATCTTGAGAACATGACAGTGTGATGGCCTATACTTGTAATGTCTAATAAAGATTTGGTGAAGTAAGTAGAGAACATGACAGTTTAGAAGGATGTTGGCTCTTGCCAGGAAGGATTAGACTGGTGCTTTCCAGGGCCCTGTTTTCTTTTGGGGTTTTTTTAACACATCAGGGGCTGCCCAGCAGTGTCACAAGAGAGACTGAAGTGTGCCTTCAGTATTCACCATTCCAAACACAGATTCTTTGACGCAGCTTGCACTATCACTAGTCACAGGGGAATCCTAGAACATCCAACATTGGCCAGAAAGTTCTATCCCATCCCTGAACCCTTACTGAATGGACAGACAGGTGGGTGCAATATGGGAAAACAGCATAGACTTGGCTGTCCCACAGCTCTAAAGAACTGGTTGAGAAACTACACGTCTTCCTGCATTGCAAATAACTTGACAGTTATTTGATTCTGTGATTCTGTTTTTTGGGTATAAGACTGAAGTTTGTGTCCAATTTTTTTTTTAACCTGTGCCACAGGTGTCAAAGGTTTGGGGAAATGTTCATGTAGGATCTGATGCATACTAATCTCAGCTTAGTTTGTGTGGAGGGCTTAAGATGCATGGCCTAGGCAGTGTGATTGCCACCATTAGAACAGCACAGCTTTCATGATTTAACAGCAGTTGTTATGCCAGAAGATACAGTCTAGATTAAAGTTAAACCCAGCATCAGGTCAGCACGAGGAAACTTATGTTCAAGGCTCTGATGTGTAGATTAGAGTACCCCACACAGAATTTGGTGTCCTGAAAAATTTCACCTAAAAAAGTTTGCAGTCACAATGGTTGAGAGGCGCTTGCTAACACATGACCAGTTGCTGGAGAAAGACTCAGATGAGAGGGCACCTGGTTTGCCAGCAGCTGCTGCATCAGTGCTTGACCCAACTCTGCCCCCCATCTCATGGCTTCCTTATCATGTTATACATCTAGCCCAGGTGTGCTTGCCATCTCCACCATGTTTCCAATTCTGTCACCATCATTCTTGATGTAGTTGGGGAGATGCCAGTTTTTTTGAAAGCCTGGCACTTAAGAGCAGAATCTTGTTCAAAACCAAGTATGTTCAGATGTAATAATCTAGGCCAGTGTTTCTCAAACGTGGGTCTCCAGCAGTTGTTGGACTACAACTCCCGTCAACCCTGACCACTGGTCCTGCAAGCTAGGGATCATGGGAGTTGTAGTCCAACAACAGCTGGTGACCCAAGTTTGAGAAACACTGATCTAGACCAAAGAATGCAAGTCTCAGTTCGGGATATGCGGCTGCCCTACCTTTGATGTAAGAAATTTATCGTGTCTATAAACCCACTCTATTTGCATAGGGTGAGTAGCAGCAGTATAAAAAGCACTTTTGTCAATTCGCAGTCTGCATGTGCACTTTCTATGGCGAATAGGGTCACTGACCCAGACACTGACTTGGGTATGGCTGTGTCAAGAATAGCTACACCCGCTTGTCTGATGCAAAAGTTGGTGGGAAGTTGGAGCGTCCCGGTGGCTGCTGCCTGGATCCTATCCTGCAGCTATTCCAGAAAATAGTCTGGATATAGCTGCTGACAACATAGTCGTTTCATTCCATGGATGGATTTTTACTCTCACTAATTTTTTTCAATGGCTGACTGCTCTCGTACACAGTAAAAACACTTTCCCTTCTTTCATGTGATCCACCCTCAGTAATTTCTCCTGTATCTGTTTGTGCCTTTTTAAAAAGAACAACAAAAAAAAACCAAACCAAAAACCAAACACTTGGTTCTTTCTGCACTGTTTGCAGGAGAACGGAGCCAGCACGATCCTACGCGACATTGCCAGAGCCAGGGAGAATATCCAGAAGTCGCTGGCCGGAGTGAGTACCTGGGCGCTCTCTCACCAGCTGGCTAACTAGCTATGGCATATCTCACAGATATAACTCCCCCTGCTCCTACTGTGATTGATTCCCCCCCCCCCCCCGAGCCTGTGTGTGTGTCGCTTTTCTTACCATAAGTCAGAGGGGATGGATGAGGTGGAATGAGCTCTGTCATATCATGGCATCCTATTTGTGACATAATCCCGCTTGCTCTAGCCAGATTGCATCTGCAGACTAACCCAAAGTGGAATTGCGGTGTGGCATTCCATTAGCTCATATTTCAGAACCAGAGCATGCGCTTGGGAGCAGTCATAGGGCGCAGCTTTTGCTAGGGTGCCATTTCAGACGACAGGTGGCAGGTTGCAGCCTTGAATCCAGCCTTATGATATGTTCTCGTATGTCAGTTCTACTCTAGCGTCTTGACATACATTGGTGGTTAGGAGCTTATAACATGGTGGGGGGGGGTATTCAA